GACCCTTACCCACGAATTTACATCCCCACGAACAATTATTTTGTCAATGTACTAATTAATTAAATCTACCAAATAAACGAGCTGCCCACGAAATTACATCCCCACGAACCAATAAAATTTTGCTTGCCCACGAACATTGACCCCCACGAATTTAAATGATTCCACAGTATCATCTGTGAAAGTTTGGTCAAGATAGAGCTTATAGCTACATAAAAAAGAGACTTGGAGCCAAAATAAACTGATTACTCATCCAGAAAAAGTGGGTCAGACAAGCATCTGAAGCAAGTCTGGTAGTGTGAATCCCATCATTCATGCAAGTTTGGTCAACAAAGGAGTTACTTTGCTACAAATACTTTACCGTCTTTCAAAAACTATTAATTTGGACATTTCTTGCTGAAAAGAAGAATCTGAAACATAATTTGTGTCAATAAAACGTATTAGATCTGGCAATTTTAATTAAATAAGGGTCAAGACTGCTTGGTGAGAGATTTTTCTCCAAAAACCTTTACTGGGATGCCGATTCCGACACAGAACTTTAGGTATAACATTGGTTTTCTCACCTTCCTTGAGATAAGAAGATAGATCATGTGAGCAGGTGCTTTTAATATTAGATTTGTAAATTTTATGTAATTTTGGATATGAGGTGCAGAAGCGACACATTATATTTTAAAATATTAGTGTACAGTGCATATTTAGTTACAAGGCAGATTAAAGTTCGTCCCTCATGTGCCTCACATTCAAAACATTGATTTACAAATACCATCCTCATATTTTCCTTATAGAATTCCTGATAGTTTTTAGTCCATCTGATATAATCTTATCAAAATCACAGTGTTCACATGCATTGCATTCTAATACAAAGGAAGAAAATCCGCTCTTTCACTGTCTAGATTTTCTTCATTGACATGATGTTTAAATTGTATAATCATAGAAACATTTAGGACGCAGATAAAACACCAAAAGAATGTTTTGTTAACTTGACACAACCACATTTGAATAAATATATTTTCTATAAGCACATACAAATCATCAAAAAGCATTAATCCAAATCCTAAGTTAACTTTTAACTTAATTTAAGATTTTGCTAATTTCTCAATCTCATGTCAATTTATATAAATGTGGCTACAGGAAAAACTCTTTTGGATTTGAATGTGTTAGACACTCTAGGTATATAATATAGTACATCAATTTTCAATGCTACATGATGATTAAAAAGACTTTAACTTCAACCTAATTTTTATGGCATTTTTTGTTTCCTTATTCTTTATTCGGTTTATCATAAAAGACTAGAGTCTTACATTCCTTGTATTTATGAGTAATAAAACTTAGTACATTAATTTTTTTTTTATTTCGATGGATGGCGCCAAGGTTGGGGAACCCTGGACTCACCAAACTTACAAGCATAAAATATAGCCAATAGTAATGATGACAGTCACATGGCACTATAGTAAATAAACTACCACATATAATGTACTACTAATATAAACACTGTATATTTTAATATTCAACCAGGACAATTTTTCATTGAGAAAAAAAATATGTAAACAAATCCTTTCACACCCCATGCATCCAATATGTGTATGTATTTACCAGAAAAGTTATCAAAATAATGAATAACATAATGATTTTAATCAAGTACAATTTTAACCAACATTAGAAAAACAGTGAAGAAAAACGTTCCCATCTCTTTTCAAATAAAGCCAATTCATTATTCTTTTTATACATAAATTTTTCAAGTTTTTAATAATGATTGATTTCCTTTTTTGCTCCATCTAAAAGGATGACTGTATCATCTGCATACTGCAATAGTCTAAATTCATTTCTTTTAATAAAAATTCCTTTGATTCCAGGATTGTTTCTGATCATAATACCCATGATTTCAGCACAGAGTACAAATAAATAGGGTGAAATAGGGTCCCCCTGTCTACACCCTCTTCCGATATCAAAAAATTCTGAAAATAGGCCATGCTGAATTACACACAATTTTGCATTTGAAAACAACAATCTAACCCAGCTTATGAACTTTTCGCCAAAACCAAAGTATTGTAGAACTTTAAAAATAAATCTCCATGAAACACAGTCAAATGCCTTTTCAAAATCTATAAGAAGAACAAATCCTGGGATCTTTTTCTCATTACAATAATGAATAACATCATAAAGTAATCTAGAATTTTCACCAATGTATCTATTTTTAAGAAATCCCTTTTGATTTTCATGAATAAGTGTGGAGAGAACATTTTTAATTCTGTCGGCTAAAACGCTGGACAGCAACTTATAAGTAACATTGAGAAGAGAGATAGGTCTCCAATTTTTCAAGTATTCTCTTGGTTTATTTCCCTTTGGAATTACAGAAATTATGCCCTGAGTTTGAGTCATTGATAGACATCCTCTATTATAACTACTGGTAAATGAATTTATCAAAAATTTGCATAAATCAGACCAAACAAATTTAAAAAACTCTGTAGTGAATCCATCTGTTCCAGGAGTTTTGTTATTTTTCATTTTTTTTAAAGAGTTTAAAATTTCAGACTGGGAGATATCATTATCTAAAAGAGATTTGGTATCATTGCTAAGTTTGGGAACTTCGCAATCAACAAGAACATTGTTTAGGTTAACATCAATTAGTGAATCATCTAGATTTCTATATAAAGATTGATAGAAGTATTTAAGGTTATCTAAAATTTCTTTCTGATTAACAATTGAATTACCTCTACTGTCAATGATTTTTGTTATATTTTTATTTACATAGTTTCTTTTTTCCAGAGCACAAAAATATTTTGTTGGTTTTTCACCATCCTCGATCCATTTACTATGTGTTCGTATCAATAGTCCTTCAAGCTCATATTTTCTTATATTTTCAAGTTCAACCTGAAGATCATTCAGTAAATTTCCATAAACTTGAAGATGGTGCATGTTAAACATCTCATGCATGAATTTAATTTGTTTTTGAAGAAGTTTTTTCTTTTCTTTTTTTCTCACAGGATTTTTTACTGGAAAAATAAATTGCAAACTCTCTAATTTTCATTTAGATAATTTCTAATAATTAATTGTCATAAATTGCTGGTGATCTGTATTCACCTACCAAGCATTCTACCTCAGTATCAGAAATAATTTGTTTGACCTTCTTAACAAAGTCAAGATCTTTCAACAGAGAATTATTAAAACGCCAAAAACCTCTTACTTTTGAAAAATTGTCAAATCTTAGTTGAAGTTCAATAATTGAATGTTCTGTTCTACAGACCCTGAAACGTGCTACTACCCCACACGCACGCTGCACGAACGGTACACGCTCGCTACACGGTTTGCACGAAACGCTGCACGGTTTACACGAAACGCTACACGGTTTGCACGAAACGCTACACGGTTTACACGAAACGCTTTGCACGAAAGGCTGCACGGTTTACACGAAAGCCTGCACGAAACGCTTTGTACACGATTCTCGCACGGTTTGGCCTCGATCTGGATTTTCTATTCGGAATCTCTCGGACTTTATTTCAATTATTACGGATTAATCAAAGATTAGTTAAGAATTGCAATCATTCAGATTAAGTTAAGATTAAAACTCGCTACACCAGTACTATATTAACAGATAAAATACTCAATGTTCAGTTGTAATTAATTCATAGTTGTCAGTGAGTATCTGATCCGCCCGGTGAAAAACTTATTATCGTCTGTGTACAAACCTTTTTTCGCTAGACTCTAAATAACACATTGAAAAAAATATCATGTTTGTAATTCATAATCTTTCACAGCATTTAATGTTTTTTCAATTATAATTTGATATTAAATATATAGTCGTTTTATTACTAACAAATCAACTCAGTTATTGATTTGAAAAAAAAAATGATTCAATTGCGTATGATTTCTGTAAACGGATTGACTTTCTTTTCTCTTTTTTAATTATTGATTGATTTATACATTTTTTGATTAATTAAAAAAAAAAGAATTCATTTAATGCATTCCAAAATAAAAAAGGAAATTCCTTGCGTCCCTTTTCTAGGTTTTAATGTTAAATACATTTAGGAAACATTTCGAAAACTCAATTCATTGGAAAGAGATAAATATGGTATAAGCTTTTTCTACACATTGTACCGTGAAGTGGATTTGCAACATGTATAATGAAACAAACTTGCAGGATTAATCCCTCATTTTTAAAACAAATCTTTTTTTTTTAATTTTTGACTTATGGAAAAATCCCCCATCTCTAAAACATTGATCATGCATTTCTTCAACATTATATACATGCAAACAAAGAGAAATGGGGGATTAATCCCCCATCTATTTAACAAACTGATGACCAAGGTTTTCAACATATCTATCCAAAAGAAAAGAAAGGGAGATTAACCTCCCATCCCCCCCCCCCCCCAGCTTATTGATGATAAAACAAGACCTACAAAACTGATGATCAGGGTTTTCAACCTATTTATATAAAAAAAGGGAAAGGAGAATTAACATGATTAATTCATCTTCTAATTGATTTATTATGATTTTTTCAACATATGTATACAAAAAAGAAAATGGGGGATTAATCCCCCATCTATTAAATGACTTGATGATCAAGGTTTTCAACATTTTATACAAAGAGAGAAAGGGGATTAATCCCCCATCTATTAAACAAACCAATGATCAAGGTTTTCAACATATTTTTACAAAGAAAGAGAAAGAGGGATTAATCCCCTATGTAACTGTTAATAAAACATACTTACAAAACTTTGATTATGGTTTTCAACATTATAAAAAAAAAAAAGAAATAAACATGTGGGATTCATATCCTATCTATTAATTAAACAATATAAAAGTTTTCGACATAATATAATAAAATAAAATGGGGATTAATTACCCCATCTCTTAAAACATTGCCATGAGGTTTCCTCACTGTGTACAAGGTGTCAAATCTTCAGCTTTAACACATACATGTGCTGTTAGTACATAAATGAATTATATTACAGCTACTGTAGTCTTGGTCCAGGTCCTCTACTTTCTGAATATGTGACTATCACTTAATCGATATACTTTTGAATTGCAAGGATTTGATTTTCAATGCTTATCGATAACTGGTCAGCTTTTATACATTTTCCACCAAGACTACCTTTCATGGAACAGATAATGTATTTTTTATCAAATGTTTGTTTATCTTTTTCATTCACTGTAAATGAGAGTTTCTGTGGTGCATGTGTGAAGTGTCCATCCCGTATCACCCCCACTGGTCTTTGACAGTATGTTAGAAAATCTTTATCCTTAATGGCAAAGTAAATCTTGCCCTTGGTATATTCTACCAGCACTACTTCTTTCTCTTCTGCTATGATTACCTGGTGAAAGAAATGCAAAATTTTAATTAGAAAAGCAATAAATTGAAAGTTTTAGAATTTGTTTTATGTTTTAAAATGTAACGTACAGAGGGGCCACTTGATTGATTCTCAACTTGTACACTTTCTGATCTTTTCATTTTCTTTGGTACTATGTCTTCAATCTATTTTAAAACATAAACAACAAGAGGAAATATATGTGTACATGTAAAAATATAATGACTTATTAATATGTGTGAGAAAAAAATTATAATAAAATCAATATTGAGAAAAGTTTTCAAATAAAATTTCATTTAATACATATTAGAAGTAAATAATCAACAATATCTTTCAAATAAGTTCTCATTTTCACGCAATCTTTTACAAAGTGCATCTACATTTTACAATATTTAACAACAATTTCAAACCTGTGAAGTGTCATTTTTTCTTTTAATGGAATGTTCGGCAACTGGAGCCTGGATTTAAAAGAAACATATACAATTTAATCTGATTTTAATTATTACATACGTTTTTTTAGTTATAAATGTATTGCGGTGCATGTGAGAGTCATGTGTAGCTGATGCTTTCAGATTCTTTGGCTTAGGTGAGCTAGTAAACCAAAGCAATATTTTTTTTCCACTCACCTTCTCTGTTGCTCTAGCACGTGCTGCAGCTTCTTCTGCTAGCTGACATCTGTCCTTTTCCTCTTTAAGTGATTTTTGTAAATCATCTATTTTAGTCTTTAGCAAAAAATAAATGGGAAAATTCAATAAAATGCATTTTGGTTGGCTAATAAGCAGTACAAGAGTACACGTCTGTGTGAAATGCAAATAATATCAGACCCAACTCACTCAAACATACAATACATGGCATGAGTAATCCATGTTGTACCCATTGGCCACACTACTCAAAGACACTTGATTTCTTATCTAATTGATGAATGAAGTTATGAAAAAAGAAGTAAATAAACACCTTATTTTATCTATCAGCTTAAACAATCACCTTAGGGCTTAGGACCTCTATGGTCTCATCATAGCCCCATATACACAGTAAAATTACCAGGGAAAAATCTAAATAATTAAGATGAGCTATAAATATAGATGTATACAGCAATGGTTAATCCACTTTCAGCTATAACATCAGAAATACTTCTGATTAACAATGACAATCCCACCTTTGATTTGTTGTCCAAGGCCTTCATCCTCTTCATTATACCAACATATTCGACCATTGTTTTCTTCAGTTGCTGTTAAAATAACAGTTACCTCAGTCTTTATATCTTTGAAGGACAGTTCATGATACCATCTTTTATATTTTGTATAATAACTTACAATGCATACATGTTTACATGTATCACCAGTGGTGTTATTTGATCAGTTTCTTTTAGCATTTTATTGGCATTAATATTTAAGGATTTAAATTCAGATGGTTGCAGGAAGTTACCTTAATACAAAGATATAGTTTTACAAGATAAATACTAACTTCTATTTGCTTTTCTTTAGTTTCCAGCTGCGTGTCTTTCAATTGTTTATCTTTTTCACTATCTTGCAATTGCTTAGTGAGGTGCTGATTCTCCTGTTTCAAATTCTCAAGATCTCTCTTTGAATCTCTGAGCTGTTTTCTGAGATCTTTCATTTCTTCTTTCAAGTTATCTTTATTACCTTCATTTGTTTCAGTCCTGATAAAATACATGTATCATAAATTAAAAAAAAATATTTAAATTCATTTACAACTGTTTATTAATGTAAAATACACTGGAATCATACTCTTGATTGTAATTAACTTTCAAATGTTAAAAATTTTTATAGCACAAATTTATCTATCCAGATTCAACTTTGTTCCCTATCTTAATTAAGTTCTAATATGAACAAAAGACAATATAATTCCTAGTAAACAGTGTTTTTAATTTATCTTAAGAAATTAATGACATATTAAATATTGCTTTTTACTTGAATAAAATAATTTTTGAGACCTTGGATTGTACACAGGAACTTCATCAGCTACTTCAACAGGCTCACTTCCACTGCTAAACAGAAGCAAATATTTAAAAAGATATCATCCATACAGTATGCAGCTGGTGGCAGAAACCATCTTAATGTTATCAATATTCCGATGGTCTAAAATTAAATAATCTTTTTCAGATTATTGACACATGCTTATTAAACATAACTGATCAGTTTGTCTTGTGTCTAGTCTTTCTGTCTGTCTGTTGAAGAGGAGAAACATTTTTTATACAAATTTTTCATAACTTGCACATACATGTATAAAGATTAAGAACTTTAATATCAATTAAAAGGAATAAAGTGCCCCGCCACAGCATGATACGCCCGTCAAATATTGTTCAATATTGTCATAAACAGTTTAGAGTGCAAGAAAATCATGTCAACCTTGATACAAGGATTTCAGTGTTTTTCCATTCCTTATAATATTTGTTTATACATCTCCTGTGATGTAAGCATTAATTATAACAAATATTATATTATAGATCCTCAGCTGGTTGTGTTAAAGCTTGACAAATGCCCATCTGCACCCCCCCCCCCCCCCCCCCCCCCCCAGCTTTCAGATTTGTGAGACATGATGCTCTGAATTAGTTGATATTTTCCAAAAATTAAATAAAAATATCATATTAAACAATATCAATTTAGTCTTAACAACTTAATCTATATCAAATTAATATTAAAAATAATAGGCTGGCTATCAAATGACATATGCTATAAACTGACAAGCAGTTCTGATGACTAATTCCCAAAGGATACAGATAAGAGCTGCTTGATCAGAGATCCTCTAACAGAAATGATTGAGACAGCTAGCCTCCCTACACTGAACTCATTAATTAATCTTTAATTGGATGCATGTCCACTCATTACTCCCAATGGATGAATGGATCTAAAGATTTTTTTTTTTATTTTGTTACAAAGATTAATAAAAAGAAGAAAAAAAACATGTGTAATCTTCATACAACATTTTTAATAAGGTTCCTGCATTACTCTTAGATTTGTAGGGACTATCTACCATAATTAAAACATTTTTTTTTAAATACCAAATTTTTTTTAGATTTAATGTCAGACTGGTTTTAAGCTGCAATTCATTCCAATATCCCCCCCCCCCCCGTATAATTAGTTTTAATTATATTATACAATATCAAATTAGGTATTATACAATATCTAATTAATTTATTATACAATATCAAATAAGTTTTAATTACTTTTCACCAAATCCATTTTAAAAGTTAAGCTAGCCAACTATTTAGTCCAACACGGCTGATTCTTTTTGTCCAGTTCCCAAGAGTTATAGATAACACCTACTTGATCAGAGATGCTCTACCAGTTAGCTCCTCACACTAAACTCATTAATTTCTCTCTAATTTGACGTGCAATTTTCTGTTATCAAATTCTCCTTAACCAGTGCTTGATAATTACACCCCTGGGAGAGGTGGAATTTCTCTTGTAACAATACAATTGTTATAGTGTGCTGTAAAGTATATAATGAAAAAAATAAGTATTTTCTTGATTTAACATTTTTTTAATAAGGATACTGCAACAGTCTTGCATTTTTTGGGATTGTGTAATCTAATAGTAAAAAGACATTTTTTTTTAATTTCACTTAAATTAAAGGTCAAAGTGACCTTGAAATAGTTCGCGACACACCTTCTACCCAGGATGCATAAATTGTCCAAGTTTGATGATTCCGAATTCAATAGTTTTCTAGTTATGAGTCAGACGATAATGATAAAAGACGCATGTAGAATCTTGGAAGCTTTCAAAAGTGTAACTTTGCTTAGTTTTTTGACTATGAAAAAATTAATATGAAGTCATTATTATATATTATTTTCATTTATTAACTTTGCTGCAATGCACAAGCTTTGAAACTGATTTTTCCTTGAATTAGGCCATGGCAAAAGGAGGGTTTAGTACTCTTTAGTTTTGAAATTGAAATTCATCACATTGATTTCTTTCATCTGATCATCCATTGTTTTGATTCACTTATTCTTGTAGTATTTGTCAATTGCCTCAGGCTGCAGATAGCAGATATTTGTTTACTCAATAATGATGTTATGGTCATGACTGCTTTTAAGAGAACCTCCAGCGAGTGAACTTAAATTCTGTTATAATTAGTGCCAGAATCTCAGTGGACAAACGTGAGAACCTTCCCCAATTCATAATGATCCCAGACAAGGCAGATGTTGGTAATCTTCCTTGCTTATCCAAATTATTGACAGCGTTGACTTTTGACATTGCAAAATGGCCTTACAGCCAGAAAAGTAACACCTATTAATAATTACAAGAAACATATTGACGCAAGCGTAAAAAAATCGGCCGCAAACCAATTGTCTCTTTTCTGAACAAGAAACTGAAATGCGTGATCTGTTGTTAATATATCTGATATTAATCTGTTAATATAACCTGGTGACATAAAACATTGCATGTGACATCGCAGGTGCGGATTTCAACAACTGAATCTTTCTCATACATAATTTGCGTTTAACGGAATATTTTACATTAATTAATAGTAAAACAAAACAGATATTTGGGACTTCTCTCTCTCTCTCTCTCTCTCTCTCTCTCTCTAGCAAATCCAAATGAGAGTGTTGAAACCCCAACAACCCCCTTTAGATCCACCACTGCATTTCTTCTTTCAGTTTCTTTGTTGTGGTGTTGAGATGTGGCGGGAAAATGCTTGGCACATTGTAAAACGCGCTTAATCCTCGTTTGTTGGAGCAAAAATTTCGTAACAACCTGTATTTTGTCTTTTAAGAAGTCAAAACTTTTTTTAATTCCCATATGAAATGTTTATTTTACGCATTTTAAAACAAATATAATAAATCCTGTTTAAACTGAGAAAGTAACGTTGATTATATATATATCTCGGTCTTTGCTTTAGATAATGCCAAACACGTGTGCTGATAGGATTCTCCGCACTTCAAAATCCGTCAATCAGTGTTCGATCAGATAAAATATTTACCCCATTATTTATTCATTTTTCCAATTTTATAATTATTGAGCATTTTTTGTTAAACATTTAGACACTCTTGATTAATATTCTATATGAATGTTAAATACTTTTATTTGTTTTAGCTCTGCAGAAACGCACGGCTACTTAAAACTTTCATATCAAATAACCGACCGCCTCCTGGCGGCCGGTAAAAAAAGCAACCTATGCACTGGTTGATTAAAGAAGAGGGCAGGGGTTCATGCCTCTCCTTTGTAACCCCAAAAATAATAACAAGATTAATAAATAATTTTCTCGTTGTGTGAATTTGTGTTTGATATACATAAAGCAAGAAAAAAAAAATTGTTCTAAAAACCTAAATCCCGACAGCTTCTGATGGTTTCGTCCCCTAAGCCCTCACCCAAGATCTCCAACTGGTTTATCCATCTCCCTTTTTGAAGAATTTTGTATCCGTCATTGCTATTATTCAATATACTGATGTACACCAGAAATGGCACTGTCATTAGCTAATTTTTACTTACTTTTGCTGAGATTTCCTTTTTGTAGCCTGACTGACAGTTGTTTTTTCATTGATCTTTCCACCACTGAAATAAAACAAATCTGATCATAATAAATTAAAAAAAAAAAAAAAAAGAGCACCATGTTCATCACTGTTAAATAGATACACTGTAGATGAAGCGAAATTCATTACTTTTCTTACCAGCTAAGAAGAGTTTTATATTTTTATCTTTTTTTAAGTGAGAGGGGTGGGTGAAGGAATTTTTTAGATTATTCTATTGCATAATGTATGTAATTTTCATTTCAATAAAAACAATGAAAATCCTAGAAGAAAAATGCAATCATCTTCTTAACACGCCCTCCCCCATTATGTAAAGCATTTTTGGAAAAAAGTAGAAGAGCTGTGGCCCTTTTCACAAAAAATTTTACGCCTAAGACTACTATCCTCCCCATTTTACAACAAATATATATGCTGCAAAATCTCATTTTTCTATTACATAAACTAAATTTTTTATGATTTCATTGTAAATAATTATTTAGAAAAAAAATATCTTTATTCAATGAAAAAAAATACAGAGTTTTGAAGTTTTAGTCTTAGTCGTAAGATTTTTTTTGTGAAAAGGGCCACTGATTGTTACTTGTAATATTAATCAGTTTTGATTATGGTTACTTTTAATTCTCAGTGTATTTGATACTAAACAAATAAAAATACTCTATACTACTGGTGTCATAAAACATTATGTTGTATAACTGATAACGTCTTTATTCATATACATTTTTTGCCATGTTTCACATTCATTGTTTTCTAAATTTGACATAAATTTCTCATTTTTTCTGTTTATTTACAAACAAATGATTATATGGACTGCTTACTACATCACTCGCCAAATTGTTATTGCAGTAAAATATTCTATCCCGAGTTCTCATTATCAATGTGATGCATGCTTATTTAATAATTACCTTAGGCATGAGCTCCTAAATTCTTCCGGGGTGATTTTTCCAGTGGAGAGTTTTTTCAAGAGCGTAATTTTTTCGCTATTATCTTTGACTTTTGTAAAGTTGGCAAAACAGTATTGGGTACATTTTTCCGATTTTTTCTGCCCCTTTATTTTATAATTTTCAAATGCATCAAAAACATCAGTGATTGGATTCCAGACGTCATCATCATAAGCCGCAAGGCTAAAGTGAACTTTGTAAGAATTCTTCAACTCCACTTTCTAAAAAAAAAAAAAAGCGAGTTAATCATTTTAGAAAATAATATATTGTATACAAAGACTGTTTTTCTGTTTTTTTTTTTTTTTTTTGGAGGACAGTGTTTACGCCTGCATAAGTTGTGCTTGAGTAATGGATTATTTATAAACCCGTGTTTGACAGACTGGATTAGAATCATATACTGACCAGCAGGATGTCTTGTGTGAAGCGAGGTCAGTATAGCAAGTGGAAATTTATGATTGCTTGCTTTCATGTATAATGGGATTGATTAAAATAACAAGACAAGGGGGGAATGATAATTGTGAGATTAGCACAGTCATTATCGGTGTCAAATTTATGACTCTGAAACAATGAAATGGAGGAGTCCAACCAAAGTTTATTTATATATTTTAAGATCTAATCAACAAATACTTGTTTATATACTGTTTGGCAGTTTTAATGAAATAGAATATTTCATACTAAATATTTTGATCATATGTATACATGTAATATCTAAATTCATTGTGCCCCCCCCCCCTTGAAAAAAAAATAAATAAACAAAAAAAAAAACATTATCATTTGACAGCTAATGAAAAGATTCCTCTCTATCATTGATAATAATTGATATGGATTGTTTATTTACAGGTTTATTGACATATTTACAACTCAGGCAGTAATAGTAAATGGCATCCATTTCTCACTAAGACCAATTTTTCTCATGTGTTCTCTGGCCATGGTCATTTCTAATCTCTTACTCCCTGGTCATGCTGGTTTCCCACACAAATCAATGAAAATATTCACTTTCAGCTTTAAGATCTTTATCTTACCCAATAAACAAATGGAAAAAATGTTAAAGAAACAAATTGTGAATTCAAGCTTGCTCTCTAATTTTTGAAACTCAGAAAGGCTGCGTTGTATGTTATGATTAAAGAAATGGGCAAATGGTTTGAGGTAAATGTAAGATTAAAAAAATATATTATAGGAAGAGTCCCGGTGTAATAACTTTTAAAACACACAAAGGCCTCCTGTCATGAATTTTAATTCTTTCGTTTCTGTATTGCACATTGAACAACACGGACCTTCACATTTACATGTGTTAGTGATTTTGTTTTGGGATGTGACTGGACATATACATACAAATATAAGCCAGATTGGGGTCGGGTGGGGTGGGGATGGGTGGGTGGTGTTTCATAACAATTTCATTGTGAATCACCACAAGGAACTCTAACAGGCCATCCTGCTTTTCCTTGATTTTAATTTTCTCAACATCTGTCAGCTTTAATTTTTTGTGACTTCTTCACACCGCTTTACCGCTATCATTTACTATGTTATCTCTATTTTTTAATACATCGTTTCCGCAATTTTTAAATGGTTAAACTTAGCATCAAACAGTTGTCAATCGATATTTACCTTTATTATATACCCAACTGTTTGTCACTCAGTTTTACTGTTGAATTTACGCAATCACGAGACAATGTGATCCGACGTTCCGGATCACCACACTGTGGTTTTCTGAATCCATATCACCCCTCTCTGAAACTGATGACGTAGTACACAGATAAATGACGTTTTTATTCTCGCGCATCAAAAAGTTCCTTGACAAAATGGTTTGTTTAATGGATAAAAGTTATGTAATTGATCCAAAAAGTTTTTTTCTTTTTTCATATTTTGCTAGTTGTTAAGAGGTATATAATAAATTTATCATTATAACAGTAACTTGATCCGAAGAGTCGTATCACGTCTCGTTGACAGGCGCGGATCATCAGATCAAACTCGACGCTTCGCGTCTCGTTTGATCTGATGATCCGCGCCTGTCAACTTGACGTGATACGGCTCTTCGGATCAAGTTACTGTTATAATAATATATATGTATTTCCTAACAAAATTCTAGTCAATAGTAATATGACCTCACGGAGCGATTAAAATTTAATGAATTTCGCAGTTCACAGGGGTAGGTCATAGGTTTTAGAAGTCATAAATTTTATACCTGGTTAAGGAAAGAAGTACATGTTTAATAAATCGCGGAAAAGCAAAAAGCTTTAATAGTGGAAAAGCAGTTTAATTTGTGGTGGAAAAACAGTATATTTTTCGCAGAAAAGCAATGTGGAATTGCAGAAAATTGAAAATGCGTTTTAACCCCCCTTTTCCACACACACACACACACACAAAAATGGAAATCTGTCCTGAATGAAAATATATAGTAAATTAGCTCATACATAAGACAGCATGTAATAAATTGTGTGATTAATAATCCGAACAACTGCATGCGTATACCAAAGCTACTGTAAATTTGAGATTAGTAATATTTTAGCTTTCTTTTTTCATTAATTTAATTTGGTCTCTGTCTTTTAATTAGTCATCCACAAATAAAATGCACATGCCCTACGCCCTTATGTGCACAAATAGCTCTTCTTAATTTATTAAGATTGATGTTTATTGTGAAGGGAATAAATTAAGCAAATTTTAGATGAATTTAAGATATTTTTATCAGGTTTATTTCAAATATTTATCTTTCTATGATAATGAAATTGCTCTAGTTATTATGAAACAATGAAATATATTACATGTAATAACATTTGAGGGTGCTAATGTAAATTTAGTTGATATGTAGGTGAAGAGGGTGAAATATTGTAAGCCTGAATTTTTAGGCAAAAAGTATTACTCGTATGTATTGTAAGTCATTCATTTGGAATGTTGCTGCTACAAGTGCACCAAACTCGCACCATCAATTCCATTGTGACATAACTGAGGTCAAAAATATTGCAAACTATTTTTTTCAAAAATGATCTTTAAATAAAAAAAAATGTGGCAATTCATCAGAAAAATAATGTAAATTTAAGATATGAATAAGAATGTAATTTTTGAGAATTCATGAGGTACATGTACATGAACTACAATGCTTCACGCCTGCATATTTATCATGAAACATTATCGCGCTTCATGAAATATGCTGGCCTGATGTGTCGTAGTTCGACATGTGCCACACGAATTCTCAAAATTAAGTATTCAAATACATGAAGTTTTCATTTGTAATTCAAGGATAGGTTGCATTAAAAAATATAAATGTTAGAAAATAATGAAGCATGTGAATGCATGCAGACATGGATGCAAGTTGCCCTGTATGCAAGTTATAAAGTTCAAATTATAAATGATTTTTGTTCTGTTGAACTGCCTGGTAAATTTGAATCTTAAAACAAAAGAAATCCCATTTTCTAGTATAATAATTACTCAATCTCATGTTGACTGCGAGTTGCATTTTTACAGTAGCAGATATCCATTTTGACAGGTGTAGGCAGGTATACATTATGCTCTAGTTTTCAGCTACTGAACAAATTTTAACCTATTTCAGTATATTAATTCGCAAAGGGAATAAATCAGCCTTGATGCATTCATTGTAAGACAAATAAGTTAGAACATTTAGGAGTTATTAAAATTTGATTGTTTATAATGTTTTATCCCAACCGAGCAAAAAATCAAATAATTTTAAAATTTCTCGACGTTGTTTGAAATATATTAATTATTAAATACAGACAATAAATTAAAATAGCTGATGAGTACTTTTTAGAGGCATATCCAGACTTGAAATATGTCTTGTCCATTTAATAAAGATTTTTTTATTGAAGGATCTATAACTGACTAAGTTCTATCTTACTTTAGATTGATTACACGTCAAGATTTAGTTCTCTGTGTTCATCCTATATTTTGATGTTGTTTTATTTGCGAATTAAAATGCATACTAAGAGATATACCCAACTATTTAAATTATAAATTTATAATGAATGAAAATAACTGAAATTCAAACCATTAAAAATTGAAAATGTCTGAACTTTTAGTATATTGAAGCAAAGTACTTACAGATTTATTGAGGATTGCCCCTATCTCAGACCTCCATCTCGTAGAAATGTGTTTCTGTGGCTTTCCTGCATGCTTTTCCTTGTTTTTTAAAAAGCTTGTATGGAAGAAGATAACTTTCTCAGAGAAAGACAATTCCTGGGAGTTTTCATGTAGTTCATTGTGCTTATAGGATAAGGAAAGAGCCTGAGCTTCAGTGAGATTTGTGTAAATGTCCATGTACACATATTTGTAAACCTCACTATTTTCCCCTGCCAATTGCTTTAAAGCAGCAACTGTATGGTTTCCTCCCAAAATCTCCACAGACTCATGGTTTGGAATCGACATTTTAGAGATGTCCGCTTTTGTGGAGGCTAATCCTATGAGGACCGTGTATGGCTGGAATGATTTTTGAAATGATTTCACAAGATCTTGGACATGTTTGTCACTAATAGCTCTTATGGAGTGTCCATCTTTTGGTGGAATCAAATTATCAATGTGAACTTTCACATGAGCTGCTAAAAATATATATGAATCAAATATTTTAAAAATAATGAGTAATTTGACTAATTGAAGGTTTTGGGCATTATAATTCAACAAAAGACATAAACAGAACATATTTACACAGCCAATCATAGGGAAAAAAATGGTAAAAAATAAATTAAAAATTATAAAAACTTAAAATTCTGATTAGAAAAGTATTTAAAAGTCTAGAATTATTTGAGAATGATTTTTTTAAGGATTTTTAATTACCTTTCAAATTCTTCTTAATCATTTCCATATCAAGACTTCTGAATATAATTTCATCTTGATCCTCACTTTCACAATTTTCTTCATTCTTCTCAACTTCACTCAAATCCATATCTTATTTAATGGTTTGAAGTTACTGAATGGTCAGTTATTTACTTGGTAATGGAGCATAGCTCAGATGCAGATTCTTATCAAAGAGAAATAATGCAACGCATGCGTGATCTTATCAGAAGATGGTCTTAACACCATGATTTAAAAAGCACTTGACATAGTCCAATATGAAAGGAACATGAATAATTTAAGAAGATTCAACCCTATTTCCAAGAAATGGCAACAAAATACATGTGAAAAAATTGGGTTAACATTCTATGATTTAGGTCTTTTTGATGAGATTTATGAAAACCAGAATCTCGGGGAACCATTGGATTGCTTAAAGATCATAGGAGACGGAAATTGTTTATTTCGGTGTCTTGCCTGTGTAATTTGTGGTGATGAAGAAAAACACCATTATTTTAGACAAATTATTACATCTTTTATTTCTGAGAGGAAGGAAGCAGTATATAATAATGAGTATCCAAAGGAGTACTTGGAAAGAAGTCGTATGCGAGAACGTGGAATTTGGGGAACAGAAATAGAGCTACATTACTCTGCTTTATACTTCAACATAACCATCTATGTTTATACCAAGTATGGACCAAAACATGATTGGTTAGAGTTTAAACCTGCATCTCAAACAAATGGCAAAGCTATTTATCTTTATCATAGAGATGGCAACCACTATGATGTTGTTAGATCCGTTTCCAAACCTAATGATTCAATTATATTGTGTACACCGGGTTTTGAAGAAGAAACAGTGATACTTACAGAAGATTCTGACACACAAGAGGATTCTTCTGTGGTAAGTAAAATTTGAATTTCTTTAGTCTAATCCAGTAAAACTACATGTGTAATATTCTTGAGAATATGAAAATAAAAATAGGTGCTGCAGCAGTGGAATCATTGGCATACATGTACAACATATAGAGTTATAATTTCTATACACTGCCCCATTATGGCCATAGTCTTTAAAATATACAGTGTATATATTTTATGATTTAATGTAATTGCACAAAGAACCATTCCTAACTGCTTATTAGAGAATAAGCATTGGATACAGGTGTTTCATATTTTTTTATTATTATTATTATTATTTTTTCAATTTAAAGCTATGTAGAGGCTATCTTTGCTATAAAAAAAAAAACAAACTAATATTTCAAGAGTGAGTATTGAGTATACATGATATATTATTTTCGTTCACATAAAAATTTTCACCGATTTGGTACTTGAATAACCTCACGTTTCTATAGTAAAATTGACTAAATTTGCCCGTTATTAAAATGTGGAGTCGGAAAATAAATTAGTTATTGTTTTAAATTTTTTATCTCTTTGAAACGCAATTGATTTAAGTTGTGTAATTTACATAAAAGTCCTATCTTTTTATAAAGTAATGAAACAAATAGATCTTTTTAACATGTTCAATTTTGGTTATCTGAATATCACAAAATGTGTCATATATGGCTTTAATTATTTTATTTAGAATTAAAATATTGTATTCTTTAAATTATTAGTTCAATAAATGTATTTTGTAGACTGTAAAGAAAATACAACTCATTGAAAAAAAAATATCAGAATCAAGCTGAAAACTGTTTTTCTGATAATATGTTTGTATTTAGTATGTATTTAAAAAAACAGGAATGCATACATATAATTCATAAATTGGGAAAATATGATTGAGGTTCGTGTAAAATATGTTTTATGACATAATAATGTGTCCCTAAGAAAATTAATTTTAAAAAATTGTCACGAAAGCTTAATCTCTGGCCCCAAGACCATAAACTGAGAACAGACTTAAGTCAAAATTTTGATTTTTAATATCTTGAGTTTTATTTAGTGCATTTGATTAAAAATTTGCAATTTTACATAACATTTAAATTCAAATATATGATAAAAATTTTGTTTTATTATCAAAATTATTTCAAAAGTTATATTGGTTTAAAATTTTTACTTAAGTCTGTTCTCAGTTTATGGTCTTGGAGCCTGAATACTTAAATGATAAGCGTTTGAATGAGAAACTTTAATTGCTCAAACAGAAACACATAAATTTGTAAACACTAATTTTCAGTTGTCTGCGATCAATTATATTAATATAAACAACATTGGTGTTCACAACATTTATGGGAAATCTTATCAGTGGGTCTAGCACCATATGGATACCACCTACAAAGCATCTCTTTAAACCTTATCATTATAATCATACCAGACTAATTGACTCAAAAGGAATTGTAATAGCCACATTAGCTGTTATCAAGAGAAATTACAATTAAGACAGGGATATTTCACATTAAAAAAGATAGAAATATCAGAGAAAAGAAAATATATATCCAACAGATATCAGTCAAGTTTTTATCATTTTTTTAAAATTTGCATTTCAGATCAACTTGTCTGATTTTCTCAAGGCAATGAGTTTTGAGGATGAAAATGGAAGTTCAAATATGATAGAGGACAATGCTTTAGAAACCTCTAAGACTGACCCATTTGAGTTTGAAGATGAGGTATTTTTTAAAGATATAATTCATTGAATAACTATAGTAAAATGTACTTTAAATTTTGACTAAGTATTTAGAAATAATTTTATTCAAGTATTTTTTAACTAACATTAAGAAAGAAAGTACATGTAATTACATTAATTAATTGTCCCATTGAATTATTTATTGAGCCTTCTGTTGTAAGATTTCAGTGTTATGATCCTTCGAATTAAATGTCAATATGTCATAGTAATATGTCAAAATTAAAATTTTAATATTTTTTTTGCAGGATTTCCTCTCCTACTCCACAATACCAACAAAACTCACCTCAACACCTAAGAAATCAAAGCTGAAACCTTTGAAAGTTGAAATAGAAAACTCTGACACTGGAATCATGGTAAAAATTTACAATAATATTGTATCTAAGATTCCCTTATTCTGCAAATTTCTTTTATTTAGTTTTAAACTTTTTTTGTATGAACTATATGCATTTTTTATTCAGGATGTATCAAGTGACATTGGGCAAATATCTAAAAACAGTGACATAAGTATTTGCAACTCAAGTTTTGAGGAAGCTCTTAAAAACATTAAACCAAGGAAATATGTATCCAAAAAGCACAATAATTTACTCCTAAGAAAAGCTCTGAGAGACATACCACTGGCTATATCAAAAAGGAAAAGATGTCGCAAATACTGCCTCAAAACTATCAGTGAAAAAATAATGGAGAGTATGCGATACAAATTCTGGACAAAGCAGTTTGAACAACGAGTAGAATGGTTCATTGATAAGATCTCAGAGAGCAAAAAGAATCAACACTCCATTTGTTTCCAAATTGAAAGTGGAAAAACTGTTTGTGGTTCTTGTTTTCAATTTCTTTTGAGAATGAACCGCAATTTTTACTACACATGTCTTAAAATGGCAAATGATGGAAAAACTGCTGCTGGGTATCGAAATACAAGAGGTTGTGGAGTGGCAAAAGAGGGTGCTATAGTTTGGCTGAAGAACTACGAATTCTTCCATGCTGACAGAATGCCAAACAATGGTGACATGATGCTTCCATTCAAAACTAAAAAAAGAGATATTTACAACATGTATGTCAATGAAAAAATTGAATGCTTGGAAAGATCTATATTCGATGCACTCACAGTCAGTCAGTCTGCATTTTATGACATTTGGAAAAATGACTTTCCCCATTTAAAGATAAAACAGGTAAGTTTTTTTAAAAACATACCTTGAAAAATGGAGAGGAAAATTAAAGTAATTTGTAATTAATTACATACATATATATATATTAACCTGTCAACAACATTATTTTTATTGGGATATTTTCTTTTCATTTTAGACCAACTCATTTTCCAAGTGTTCCACCTGTGTACACATCGAAAGGGAGCTGGAAAAAACACGTGATCTTTCTAAGAGAACAAAATTGAAACAAATGATGCGTGTCCATAATCAGAGGCAAATGTGAGTGTTTTTACATTAATTAAGAGTGCTTGTAAATTAATATCTTAAAGATATGGATTCTTTCAATTGTGAATTTTTTCTACCATTTTGCAATATTAAAATTACACCTTTGCACACTCACCCACAATTGCACAAACACACTCACACAAACATATGACATCGTCTTGATCCATTCTAATTATCTAATTATTTGATGATTGTTAATGGTATTTTCAATTGATTTGATGAAACATAAGAATAATTATACCTACATTTTCTTTTACCTAAAGGACCGAAAGAAGATATTACTACAGAAAAAGAGATATTGCAAAAAATTATCCCCAGAAGCACATGAGCATCATTATCGATGGCATGGATCAAAGTGAGTTGAATAAGCTTTCCGTATTCTAAATTGAATTTCTTTATTTGTATACTTAAAAATTAAATTGATCAATTGACACTTTTGTTCTGTTTATTTTTCAGGTAAGACGAATTTGCCACATTTCACTGGAAGACTTATGAAGGTAATAGCAAAAACATTTTAAAAAGAGGGGAAGGAAAAAAAAAATCCAGCAAACTGACAAGTAACATTAACTTTGGATTTAAGATACTACTTCTCTAGAAAAAGCTTTTCATTTATTTGCCTCCATATATTTTTAAGTTTTAGAACAAAATACAAAATGCTTCGTTATTAATTGGTTAGAATAATCTATACTATTTATGCAAAACGTATGTCATTGACTTTCCTTGGCTTTTGAAATTTCACATTATTTTTCATTTGTTAGGGAATAGACCCAAACAGCTTTCTGAAAACCCATGTACAAGGAGTACTAAACCACGGGATGGGAACATTTGATGTTTATGTTGACATCAATGAATACTGTCATGACTCGAACTTGGTGATGAATGTTATTTTAAAGACAATTCACAATGCCATTTCAAAGGCAAGATATATGATATGACGCTTTAGACAGCATTTAGAAAGATGTTTAATTAATTATGAGCTTGATGTGATTTTATTTATCTTGGAAAACTTAAATGATTCTAAATAAGTTCGATGTAAAATATGTCTATTTTCAGGATGGATACCTGCCACAGAGGCTGTACATCCAAGCCGATAATTGTGCAAGAGAAAATAAAAACAGATTTGTGCTAGGGTTTTGTGAATTATTGGTTAGACTATCAATATTTCATGAGGTACGTGCACACTATGCATAAATTAATGAGACAAAAGTACAGAATACAATTCTTAATTCATCTTGATGCTACTTTGAGAACAAGTTTAAATGGTATCCTTTGTTAATATTAAGTTAATTTTCAGGTGCATTTGTCCTTCCTCCATGTTGGACACACCCATGAAGATATTGATGCGGCATTTTCACAGTTAGCCATGCGACTAAGAAGATCTGAAGCCGAGACTATGCCAAAACTGTTAAATATCTTAAATGGAGCCAAACAATTAAGAGGCCTTTTTGACATAAAATCATGGCTGCAACCACATTTACGTGAAATCAAGCATCATTCTAAACCACTTCATTTTAAATTCAGTAGAAATGAGGCCCAAAAAATCACAATGCAGTACAGGACCAACAGCAATAGGACATGGAAAACAACTGAAGAAGAAGGAATATTGAATGGCATTCCACTCGGTGAACCTCGTATTCTTCTGCCAAGCAATTTCCACAAGATAGACCTACCAAACATCAGAAACAACATTCAGAAACACCAGTACAACATGTCAGATGAAGGGCAGTTTAGATGGTGGATATCCTACTTAGAATATCTACAGGTAGTCAAAGATGATGAGCGTTCACTAAATGACTATGCTCTTGAAGGAGCCATTTGGCTGTTGCCACAGCTAGAAGGCAAACAAAGAAAATCTGAAGAGGTTTTAGTAGAGATCAACAGCCATCTACTTGAAATGCTAGACAAGGAATTAGATGATTATAAGGTACTATTCTGTGTTCTTTCAGATTATTTCTTTTGTTTTACTAGCAATTAAATGTTATGGAATATTTTTTGCAATTAATAATTATCAATTTCTTATGTACTATAATCTTTATACCACTTCTTCTTCAGTCTTACTGATATGATGTTTATCTGGAATATTTCAAAATTTGAAAGAAAAAAATTGATAGATTTATTTATCAGATTATCTTATTTTAGTGAATTGTCCACCTGATGTATTTTGCAGTCTATGTAAAAATTATTTTTGCAAGATTACATCTTACTTTTAATTTAATTTTTAATGATATTTCCAAACAGGTTTGTTTTTGGGCAAGTTTGTGTTTTAGGTTATCATGTCAAAGGGGAAGAAAGAGGACAAGAAAAAGAAGATTGGGAGGAAAGGAAGATCTGACAGAAAAGATAAAGACAGTTCTTGAATATCATAGCTGTATATAGTGAAGCTTAAAGATTGTATATCAAGAGCTAAGGTCAATGTCCTTGTACATACAGTAAACTTATTTAAATATGCATTGTTTAAAGATAAGGGATTAATTCACCAAGTCTATATCTTTGTAGTACATAAAAACAAACAAAACAAACATGCTTCATACAAGCTGTAGGTGATTCATCCAAAAGTTCCTAGGCTATTTCTTTATCCGCAAAGCCATTTTTATGTATATACTTCGTAGAAAAATGTCTTTAAAGATTGGGGATTAAATCAATGGGTCTGTTTCTTTGTACATAATTTTAGAAATATTCAATATTTAACACAAAAATCTGTTTCATTGTACAAAATATTGGAAAAAATCATGAGTTTAGAGACGGGAAAATCTCCATTGTCTATTTGTATATATTTAAAAGAAATTTATTTTATGGAAAGATCGGAAATTTATTCTCCCAAAAACTCGTTTGTATTTATGCATTATTCAAGATAAGGGCTTAATACTCCAGATGTACTTCATGGTATTAATATATAGATGGGGGATTAATACCCCAAGTGTATTTCTTTGTCCGAATACATAGTCAAATGTGCATTTCTTAAAGGTGGGGGATTAATACCCGAAATTATTTCTTTATACGAATACATTGTCAGATGCATTTCTTAAAGATAGGAGTTAATACGCAAAGTTTTTTGTTTGTCCAAGTAAATAGTCAAATGTGCATTTCTAAAAGATAGGGGATTAATATACAAAGAGATATTAAAGGTATAAATTTGTAAAAATATATTTAGCCAATTGAGCATTACTTAAAGATGGGGGATTAATACCCCAAGTGTATAACTTTGTACAAATAGATTGTCAAATGTGCATTTCTTCACCCCAAGAGTAAAGATGGGGTATTAATACCCCAAGTGTATTTCTTTGTACAAAAAAAAAATAATTAAATGTGCATTACTTATAGGTGAGAGGTTAATTAATACCCCAATTTTTGTTTGTTTGTCCGAATACATAGTCAAATGTGCATTACTAATCAAATGTGTATTACTTATCAAATGTGCATTCCTTGTCAAATGTGCATTACTTAAAGATTGGGGATTAATACCCCAAGTGTATAACTTTGTACAAATAGATAGTCAAATGTGCATTTTTTACCCCAAGAGTAAAGATGGGGGATTAATACCCCAAGTGTATTTCTTTGTACATATACATGATCAAATGTGCATTACTTAAAGATGAGAGAGTAATTACCGATAATACCCCAAAGGTTTTTTTTTGTTTGTCCGAATACATGGTAAATTGTGCATTACTTAAAGATGGGGGATTAATACCCCAAGTGTATATCTTTGTACAAATACTTAGCAAATGTGCATTACTTATCAAATATGTATATTACTTAAAAATTTGGGATTAATACCCCAAGTGTTTTTCTTTGTACAATTACATAGTCAAATGTGCATTGATACTTAAAAATGGGAGATTAATTAATACCCCAAGTGTATATCTTCGTACAAATACAAGTTTTCAGATGTGCCTTACTTGTTTATAAAGATTGGGGATTAATACCCAGAGTTTTTTGTTTGTCCAAATACATATCAAATGTGCATTTCTTAAAGATGGGGGATTAATACCCCAAGTTCATAACTTGGTACAGATACATAGTAAAATGCTCATTACTTTATTATTGCGGATCAATTTGTCAAGTACTGATGTGCAATAAAGAGCTTGTCATCATGATTATTACTGAGAAGGAAAATATAGGAGTCAATATAGTGTATTCTCTTATTGAAGTAATTAGGCATGCCAACTATTTCATTGGAATTAACATGATTAAGATGGGCATAATGGCTGTAAGGAATTATCATCCTTTGTGTATTTTGAAATTTAAAATCTAGAAAAGGGATGCAAAGAATTTCCTTTTTTATTTTGGAATGCATTATTTGATAAAATTAGGTTCTGTTTATAATTTGCAAAGGTAATATGTAAACTGCATCTAACAGGAACATTGTGCAGGAAAAGGGGGGGGGGGGTAGATTACCGAGATCTTACTGTTGTATCTTCAAATTTGTACATGACTAAATATAACGGGCACTTGTTTCAGTAAGTATACCATCGGGGGAAAAATATTATAGAAACAAGTACCCGTTCTAAGAAAAAAAAAATATCCATATCTCCAGCGGGACCCGATAGATGTAATTCATTAAATGCACTTTATTCAAAATGGTAAATATATCGTTTCATTACAGAGCTAAACTTTATTTAATCATTAAAATTTTATATGGTAGAGAAGCCGGGGGATAAGTGTTGTAATTATTTTGTTCTCTTTTGAGGCATTGGTTTATCAAATAAAAACAATACTTTACCCACCACCTTTTAAAACTCTTCATTTCAAACCGCGTGTAGACAAAAAAAAAATGAAAATAAAAAATAAATAAAAATTTAAAAAAATATCAATAATTTATGTAATCAATAATCACGGCTCTTAACAATACATTCAATATATATGCATACATGTCCAATGTCCTAAAAACTAAAAAGAAATATTCTCTAGAACTGCGTGATTAATAAAACAACTAATATACATGTATAATTATTCAGGATTTATTTTATTTACCAATGCACTGGCAAATTATTTCACTGTTTACAGACAATCGGATAAATTTAAGAAATAAAATCCACGGGTATTTATTTATACCCATTAAATACTAATAAAACCGTTTAATTTCACACATTAAAAATCAATCGTTATTGTCGGTTGTCATCTTATCTATGATTGACAAGAGATACTTGCAGAACAAGTTTTCAGTCCCGGCACGCGGAAGCCGTGATCGCTGTTGTAAATGACCTTGATCACAGTCGTAAGAAAAGTGTTGAAAGTGTAAAGAAGATTACAATATTTTTTAAGGAGTGCATCGGCCGCACCCCGAAAAAAGTAAAAGATTATTTTAAAAAAGAAAATCATCAATAAAAGACTTGTTTACAACAAAAACTCAGTTAGTATTTTCATTTGATCACCCCCCTCCCGGAAATATTTAACCCTGTATTTGTCGATGCATGTGAATTATAATTCATTTATATGACTATTATTAATCAACCAATTTTATGCATAAAAAAGACTATAATTGACTCATCGTTCCAAAATAATTTGTGTCACAATCTTGTAATATAAGAAAATTATGTTCGTTTATAAAGAAAATCAATAAACTGTGCTCCCCGGCCTAGAATTCCAATACTTCACATTTATAGCAACACACTAAATTTTGCATTTTATTTTTCACGCCTGCCATATTTATCTATTATTTTGTATCAATCACCGATATGTTCTTGTAATCCCACATCCTATAATTGTAGAATGGTGAAGAGATTCAAATAAATGAATGAAAAGGACAAGACCGAATTTCTAATGAATTTTCTTTTAAAAAATGTTCAGTATTGCTCCTTTTAAAAATGTATTGAATCAAATACCTTAAAATTTATGTGCATATAATTAATTACTTTTAACACATTTTCTGTCCATCTTTATTGAAATAAAAAAAAGAAAGAAAATCAAACAAATATGTAATACATTACCGAGTAATTTTATTTTGTTGTTTCCGTATTTTTTCACTCTTAAAATACCACCGGTATGATATATCCGAATAATATTAGTTACAAACAACACAGAATGACATGTTGATCCATCAATAGCCATCTTTAAAATAAAAAGACTTCCGAATGAATCCTACACGTTTCTCACACGATTCTTGCACGAAAGTCGCACGTTTCTCACACGGTTCTTACACGAAAGTCGCACGTTTCTCACATGCTTCTCGCACGCTCGCTACACGGTTTGCACGAAACGCTTTGGACCTTACACGAAACGCTGCACGGTTTACACGAAACGCTACACGGTTTGCACGAAACGCTGCACGGTTTACACGAAACGCTACACGGTTTGCACGAAACGAAAAGCGCACGAAAGTCACACGCTTTTCTGGGGTAGTAGCACGTTTCAGGGTCTGTATATCCTGGGAGAATTGCTGCCGTATCAAGTGTTGACATAAGCTCTTCTGATATTAGAAAAAAATCTAGCCTAGCCTGCTTAATGGGAGATTTTTTAGCCCAAGAGAACATTTTTACATTTGGGTTCCAAATGCGCCATGGGACAACTAAATTAAATCTATTCTTTAATTTTTCTACTTCCAATTTACTTTTCAGATTATTTTCACGTACATAGTTGTAACAGTCAAGATCATAATTTTGTACATGTACAAGATTCCAGTCCCCACAGACTATAATAAAATCATCGTCAAAATCATCAATGATATTTCCAAGATCAATATAAAAGTCAGGATTATCTTTATTTGGGCCATATAGATTTACTAGTGTAATAGAATATCTATTGTCAATAAGGATACTTGAAACAATATAATTTCCAAGGGAATCAAGTTTGAATTTTGAAACTTTAATAGCCATTCTCTGTAAACATTTAAACTCTTATATAGGGAGTGTGGCACGCTATGTCTTAGATTTTTATGAAACTTGGCACACATTCCTATATTGATGTATGAAACTAAAATTCATAATAAAATGGTTGCTATGGTCAATGGTTACCATGGCAACCAACATATGTTTTTCATGGCCTAAAAAATGCGAAATTTTGATGAAAAAATGACCATTTTTGACAAATTAAAAGTTTTTAATACAACAAGATATTTACATGACTTCATCTTTTTGCCAAAATACATCATTTTTATAGTCCTTTAGCTAATTTCTAGTATTTGAGTAACTTTACCTAATAGAAAAAATATCGCCCGTATTTAGGCAGGATTTTTCTGGGAAAAAATTGTAGATTTTAGGCTCTTTTGAAAAGCCTGGTCTAAAATTTTGCGGACATTTGGGAAAAAATAAATACATTGGTTTGAAAGTTCATATATAATTCTAATACAAACTGCAGAGAAACACTTGGTATTCATATTTAGTTTTCATGTTACCATGGTTACAAACTTGAGCTTTTTTAAAGAATTCCAGACAAGGGCAATAGGTATCTACAATCAGTTTCCATATAAATACCTGAGTATTTTAAAATGGATTTAAACGAAATTTAGTTATGTGGTACACAATAGCAAAAACAAAGAGAAAAATCAATTTTCATGACAAAAGGTCAAAGGTCAAGGTCAAAATAGCTCGATTTAGATAGAGACTTAAGGAAACTAAGCACATTTTTTTTCTGTGTCCTAACTAATACTTTTGTTTTAAACAGCATGAATAAACAAAATTACAGTTCTGGTGGACAATAACTACATGTGGCATCACATGAATTGGTAAATACAGACAGAAGGTCAAAGTTCAAGGTCACCATGGTATATAAAAATTGCCTTTTTGTCCCCGCTTTCACTGAAAGTGGGGGATATTGATTTGGGTCTGTCTGACTGTCCATCATTCTGTCTTTCTGTAACACTTTTGTTTCAGCCTTTGAGCCTGAGCAATGAAATTTTGCATAAAAAATCCCTGTGGCCTAGGGAAGACTCCCATTGATTTTAAGGTCAAAGGTCAAGGTCATGAATACATAAATTCTGTTTAAACACTTTATTTCTGTGTGATATCTCGAGAAGCCTTCAAGCTTTTGCATCGAAATTTTAAAGCACAACTTCCTATGAACTAAAAAAGACCCCTATTGATTTCAAGGTCAAAAGGTCAAAGGTCAATGTCAATTTATACATTCTGTTTGTGTGTAAAACTTTCATTTCCGAGTGATATCTCAAAAAGATTTTAAGCTTTTGCAATGAAATTTTATATCATAACTCCCTATGGTCCCGCCCGCTCCTCTTAAAGTGTCCCGTCCCTGCAACCCCCACCACCCTCCAACCACCACCCCTCTAGATCCGTACATGCTCTTCTTTTTTCCTTAAGCAGGGGACATAGATACCCTGAATTAGCTTGTTAGTATAGCATTTATACTTGGATATTGTGAAAGCGTATCCTGTTTTATACACAATTTATTTTTCTGAAACTGCATGGTAAATAAATTACATTCTCACCTGTAGCTTGATGCATAATGTGAAAATGCTATGAGAATGTTTTTTTAAGGTCATTTATTGATAAAAATGTAGCCAAGTCAAAATATTGAAAGCCTATACACTTACCATATTGAGTGACTTGTTTGTAGAGAATTGTGCTACATGCATGTAAAAACACACTTTTGTTGTTTTTGTAGACTAAGTCCTTGTTCTAAAATGTATATTTTTGACTCTATTCAACAACCCGCACTTTTCCAGTGACAGTCAAATTATGTTAATTTCCTGTGACTTTTATTTTCAGAGAAGTTGACAGAAAAAGCCTAAATCCATTTTACTTTGCAATATTATTCTTAAAAACTTGAAAATTTAGAGACATTTCAACCTAAATATGCATGGGTTTACACATAATAGATCTGCTATTTCCCAAAATTTAATCAATAATTATCTGTTGTAAAAATCTGCTGGATCTGTTCGGATAATCTGTTTTTGTGCTTTCTTGAATTTATGTCAGTTGCTAAATTTGAGTTGGTTGGTGAGCTTGATGGAATCGTACACCTTATGGTGTGTAATGTAAACATAATTTCTAAAGTTTAGTCCTTGAAAATGTTGAAAATAAATAATCTGTCCCTGCTTTCTTCCTACGGTTTTCATTTTTTTAAAAAATGAATAAAGTAAAGTAACCAGTGACCAGGACTTATTCCACCCCTTCCAGGAACCATGTAAAAGCACTTACCCACATCAATTGGTAAGAGGCATTTGTAAAAAAAAAAAAAAAGAAAAAGAAAGAAACAAACAAACAAACAAACAAAACAAACAAACAAAACAAAAAACATGGATACCTTGTAAAATGTTAAGAAGCGTTATTTACAAATTTCATAAGTGATTAATCCCTTCCCGCCCCCATTCCGAGGTATAGATTTATTTTTTGTTTGATTTTAGATTTTTTCTTTTGGTAGAAAGAAGGGGGGGGGTCAGAAATTTATTTTTGTTTTCATTGTCAATAAAACACAGCTAGACTGATTTAATATTAATTTTACTGCTACAAGGTTCAATCTAAATGTATCTTAGTCTAGAGATATGATAAACCGTGAACTTTAAATATGATTCAGACAATTTGTATTTCTATGCAAATCCCACCCCCACCCCAACCCCCCAAAAAGTATAATTTTGACTTGTCGATAGGAATCAAACAAAACATTTTTATTATTAGCCTTGACAATTTTTTTTTTTTTAGGGTAAAGACCTTTCCCTTAAAGAAAATTCTTGCTTCAGCAACATTATCAACTTACATCACATCATTCAATATAAACTTGATACACCTGTACTTTGTTGTTGCCAAGCCTATTTTTTACCTGACTTTTAACTTCCAGTTTTGTACGATCATGTAAATGTAGCTAGACTTTAATTATTTAGGTAAAATCAAAAGCCTACTTTTCTAACATTATAATTCAGTTTTGTTTTTTTTTTCACATTTGTTTTTAAAAAGAAACACTGGCTTTCCTGGCTGTTATTCATTGTAATATATCACGTACTCTGAATAAGACACTGTTCCTCTTCTTGCAACCAATTCAATATAATTCTGACATCTTAAGTTTATCTTTTTATCCCTATTTTGAAACTCCTAAGACCTTGAGGTTTAGGCTTCAATATCATGAATGTGCACAGAGCTGATTTCTTGCACCATGTGGTCTTGTACATTTCCCCATTGTTCACACATAAAAATTACTCTTTTGCATCCAGGAAATAAACAAAGAGGTTAAAATTTGTATGCACATTAAATAAACAGAAAAAAAACACTTGATTTTACTTGAAATCCAGGATATATGTTGACAATGTAAACAACTTCCAGTCAGTTTTGTCCAATGATTTTTTTATCTCTCACACTAAAGAGCTCACAATTATCAAAGGGAGACAATTCAATTTTAAAATGAATGTCTGCTATTTTAATCATAGATTTCTCATATTTATAGACTGAATACCAACAATGTTTTTAAATGACTTTTAAAATCAGATGTCATACTTTTTATTTCTGTGAGTAACATGAATTGAAGTAGCCGCATTTCATTGAATAACATTCCCAAAAATTGCATTTTTTCCAAAAAAAATCAACTTTAGACACCGTTTCCATGGTAACTACTCAACATTCATATGATCTAACAATATTTTTTGGAGTAGTTTATGAGGTGGTAAATTCTAGCCAAATTTGAAAAAAATCTATGACTATGCGTGCCACAAAAGTTTAAGTGGTTACAGAGAATGGCTATTAATTTCTACTTTGTCATTAAAAAGTGTTAAAATTCCTCTCGAATCACTAGACCATGGGCACATCAAAAAATCAAGGCCCCATTGTGAATAAACAATATCTCTCTTTTATTTTCTGTACAATGTGTGTCTTGTAAGCAGTAAAATGTTTCATTATGTTCTCTTAAATATTTGAAAACATCCTTCCTTTTACTATGATCATGTAGCCCTCTACAATTCATGGAAATAATTTTAAGCTTACTAGTCATACTTATTATACAGAATGAAACATGGACACAACATACACATATTTACATATATACACAGCTCAATCATTATAGACTGAAAAATAAAAAAAACCACAAGCTTCCTTCATATGCTTAAAAGGAAACATGAAAAATAATGGAGAGAGAGAGGAAAAAATTCAACATATTGTGTATGTGGGCTGCTTGAAAAAGTTGATTATGCATCAGTATATTTGATCCAAACTGTGTCTGTTGGCTTGCGATAATGTAGTTCCACATCGGTCTTTCCCTCAATGATTCGAGTTTTGAGTCCAGCGTGTCTCAACTTGTATGCTTGTTGGGAAAGGATACTACGTTTTTTCTTCAAATGACTAGGTAGGTCCGTTCGCACAGCTTTTCCTTTCGATAAATTACTGTTCCGGGCCTTCATTAGGATGGCGTTACGGTCATCCATTCGGGCGAACTAATGCGCCTTCCTGGACTTTCTGGCTGCTTCTACCTTTTCCCGGCATATTTTGTGGGGACACAGCAGACCGCAACTGATCGTAATAGACCTTCAGCCCGTTAAACAAAGAAAACTTTCTCTCTCGACGCTCGATACGTCTCTAGTACATTAATTTTGTTCCAAGTAAGTGCATAAACGATAGCCTATCTTAACTGGGCAATTACCGCGTAATGAACTGATCAACTGAACTTATCAAAATGGTCATACAAAAATTTTGTGTTAAAAAATTCTTACATAATTACAGAATTTTTTTTTGTCATGAAATAAAACTAGCTAAACCTATAATCTATAAAATTTGACAACTAAAAAAACATACAAAATCCATTAAAATTTAAAATGCCCCAAAAATGGAACAGAGGTTTGATGTGGTTGATTTATTAGCAGCATGGGTCAATTATGCACAATTTTATTGGATGACTATTGCAGCTAATTACTATAAAAGGTAAAGATCCTGTTTGAAAAGTTGTCTGCTGATTTGGTCTTAGAAGGTAAGTTAATCTTCATCATCGTCATCTCTCTCTCTCTCTCTCTCTCTCTCTCTCTCTCTCTCTCTCTCTCTCTCTCTCTCTCTCTATATATATATATATATATATATATATATATATATATTTTCTCTGTCTTTTCTTCGTCTCTATGCAAAAACTTTATCATTTGGAATTAATCTAGTGGTTAGGGTACCCCCTTTGCAACTGCGAGGCTTGAGTTCAGTTTCCGATTTTGATGTAGTGTTTAACATCATACGAGAATTCTAATTAAAATCAAAATCTCCATGTCTACTATAATGTAGAAAAAATTATTTGACTTGTATATCTATGAATAATTGTTCAGATCACACTTAACACTGTCTGGTGGCAATCGTCCTTAACAAACACGTCTTGTCTATCATCATTTTCAGAACATAACATTGCTTTGAGCAAAGATGTTCAGGTTTTTTTTTATTCAAAAAAAAAATAGAAAACCGCCCCCTTCTGTATCTGGGTGATCTAACCTTCAATACTGGATAATTAACCTTTTTTTTATTTTTATTCCAACATTTTTTAAAATCTAAATAAAATTATTTTCTGAGCCTTATATCACTTGTAAAATTCTTGAAGAAATTACGCTATTGATTTTTTTCGATCAATATATGTCATCCATTGTATTGAATAAGTTGTTTAAAATAATTATTTATTTGGCAAAAAAAAATCGGCACTGTACAAATAAACAAACGTAGTTATAAGTTTTTTCTACAAAGAATTGAGGAGGGTACAAAATACATGAAAAGTAATCATGGGGTTGCCCGTGTGTAGAATTTCCCCGTCAATTCTCATTTGGAATTACTTGGAATAACTTGGAATTACTTAGAAGTTTTGGAAACATTTGAAATTTCAAGTACGTCCAAGTCATTTGGAAGAATTTAATTGGAAGAATCTAAACTCAATTTGGAATCTATTTGGAACCATTAGGAAGTGCAGAGATGAATCTATTTACTGGGCAGATTGTATGTTATTAGCTGATCGGGCTCGACCTTGTGGATTTTGAAATCAGGTGAATCAAACCTAAACAGTGTTGCTTCATGATCACGATCACATTTAGGGATAATTGATCGATGTTATCGTTCAATAGAAATAGTTAACATTATTCATACAGTGGTTTTTTTTTTCTCATTTTATGTCGCACTCTTCTCTTGCAAAAACATGAGACAGCATCAGATTGATCATTGCTGAAAATGTGTGGAGAATAAATATATTTTAATTTTTTTTTGTTGTCTCCATACGATACGTGTTCGACTTTTATTACCTTCGTAAATACATGAACCCAGGAAATACCTAAATTACAAGTATTTTTTCATTGTGAACAATGGATTTAAAATTTGCCAAAATATTATTGAATAAATTTTAAATAAATCAGTTTTACAGGATATCCTTTAACAGGATTTTTTTTTTTTTAATAAAAGATATTAAATGATGCTAAAAGTTCTGAATTCATGATTGAATTTATTTTCAAATCGCTGGTTGTATGTTATCTGAACAACATGCTTAGGTATAACACATTGAAATCTTGCTTTCATTGATGATTCACATTAGTTTTAGTCAATCCGAAGAAATTTATAAGTCATTTGGAAGCTAGTTGGAAGTCATTTGGAAATTACTTGAAAAACACTAGTTTTAGTCATTCCGAAACAAGTTGAAATTAACTTGGAAGTAATTTGGAACCATTTCGAAATTTTTCCAATACTGCAAATAGTGAATCGGAAATTCCAAATGAAGAATTCCGAGTGATTTACATGGTAATTCCAAATGTAACTTGGATTTCTCCGCACGGGTATGCTTATGATTTTGCATGATATGTTGTTTTCCAAATCTACATACTTACTAGATTTTTTGTGATTTTGAATTCCCGACTTTATATGTCATTGATACTTATATAATGTTTTTTATTTCATCTGAAAAATATCCAACAAAATCGAAAATAATTCGTATTGTCAGGGATACATACCTCATTCTCAACTGAATACATACATGTAATTCAAATGTTTTGTACATGTTGTTGGATATGAAATCAGTTTTAAAAGTTGGACAGGATTTTAAATATATTTTTTGATTGCAATACATGATTAAACATTCAAAATCCAATTCCATAACTTTTATACAGTTTCTGTTTATTACATTTTCTCTTCATTTTCATTTTGCCCTTATCGCGGGTGTTTCAATTTTTTTAAAGGCAGTGATTAAGGTAATAAATGTACGTTATAGCCGAATGGTTGTTAAACGTCATACATAACCATAACCATAAATTTAAAAGTAACTTTGAGACATTTTAGCAATTAGATCTGCGTCAGTATGATTTATTAACTTGCGCTACAGTCCCTGAAACGTTCTACTTTCCCACGTGAACGGTGAGCGAACGCAAAGCGAACGGTGAGTGAACGATGTGTGAACGCTGAACGCAACTTAGTGAACGGTAGGTGAACGCTGAACGGTGAGCGAACGCAGAACGCGAACGGAGCGCGAACGCAAGCGCAAAGTGAACGGTGAACGAACAGTGAACGCAAAATGAACGATTTATTCGGAATGCCTCTAATCTTTTCCATGCATTGTATCTAATCAATTGTATTCTAATGTCAGGCGCAAAATAAATAAATAAATATTCAAAAATTGTCCTAAGAAAGATGAAACATGCACATTAAGTAAAACTATTAATTAAGTTTCTTACAATATTTTCTGCACATATGTATAATGTTTAAATTCAGCTGTTTAATCACATGATTTTTATCGCTGTAAAACATTGTCATTGTTACTGAACGCTGAAAAAATAAAATCATTCTAGTTGTAAAATAAATATGTTTAGTCTTATTTGAAATACTGTGGAATCATTTAAATTCGTGGGGGTCAATGTTCGTGGGCAAGCGAAATTTTATTGGTTCGTGGGGATGTAATTTCGTGGGCAGCTCGTTTATTTGGTAGATTTAATTAATCAGTACGTTGACAAAAAAAATTATCGTGGGGATGTAATTTCGTGGGTAAGGGTGACATTGATCCCCCACGAACAATGATGATTCCACAGTATAAGACCCGAAGAGGACATTACTGACATTTAGAATGAATTAAAACGGTTGTAACAACCATACATGTATTTGCTTGTCAAGACAATTCCGTGTAAAATAATGAGAAAAAAATATTTTGCAACGGTCTGTGGACGTATTGCATTTATACACTCGTATTTTAAAAATATAATGCAATAATTTATTTATTTGTCTTTTCATTTTTTATAATGATTTATTAAGCAGACTTCTACACGTATCTGTAGACAATTCCCCTTGATTATACTCCGACAAGATGATACAAAGAAGCATTCATATTATTTGTTATAGATTAAAATTTCAGAACTTGATATTTAAGTAATAGGTGTCATAGTTTTGATTAAACGGACAAATGAGAGAGAGAGAGAGAGATATTCCATTTTAGCCCCCCCCCCCTTTTCCACAAATGCATGTACATGTACATGTTCCTGTATAAATAAAAATTCTTAATTTTTATCTTAATAGATCAGGCAGTGAAAGTACCCTTTTTTATCAACAAATTTATTTTGTTTGACAGTCATAATCGGTTTTTATTTTTCCTGCTTCAAGTTCACACGAAGTCCACGTGTTTGTCCTGTCAATCAAAATCATTCGACACTGTGCAGGTGTGAAAGTCTCCAAAGGCGAAGTGCTATACTGTAGTATTTCCAATCAACATTTTTTATCATTTCTAGATCTGATTCTAACTTTTCAAATAAATAAATAAATAAATAAATAAATAAAACACATTGGACAAAAACACTTGGAATGAATTTGAAACATACTCCCTGGCCATTTTAAAATACCACCGTCGGCACGTGTATATTTTGAACTACTATTGTTTAATGACTTTTTTACATGCATGTTTGTTTTGAGATTGAATTTTTTGTGCTACAAAACGCATTGACTTCTTTTTAAATATTAATTAAAATATACTGGAAATGCTGACTAAGTTACCGATTTACATGTAGGTGGAAAAAGGGGGGGAGGGGTCTTAATCATATCGAATGAATATAAAATTATTGTGAATATAGGAATATTTTCTCTCTAACATTAGACTTTATTTATGAATTGTAGTGTATTACATTTAAATAAATATTTTTTAACCACACTATCAATTTAATTCGCTCCATGGATATTTAATTGACTGGATATCCGCAGTACTATTTATAATTCTCGGAACTAGTTCTAATAATTTAGTAATAAATACTTTCGTAATTTTGCTGCAGTTGGTAAATTAATTGACAAGGATTTTTATCTCTCCATTAGCGATTTGTCGTCTTTAACAAAACAACAAAATGTTGCAGTGCTTGAAGTACCCGTATATTGCCTGTATATAAATTTAATTCATCAGCATCGTTCTACATAGGTACATACTTAAAACAACATTTATTTTCCTGATTAATTTAATAAATAGCCTAACAGCTAAGTTAGATAAATAATAAAACATATTGTAGATAATTTTTTCACATGAAATAATGATCCTTTAAATACGATATGTTAATTAATAAATTTCAAATTCTGTAAATCCTTACTTACAAAAAAGATAGGTCCTTTTACTTGGGAGTTCCGAATGACAGTGAAGACTGAACGATAAGTGAACGCTGAACGAAAGGTGAAGGCAAAGTGAACGAACGGAGAGCGAACGGTGAAAGCTTTGTGAACGGTGAACGCGAGCGCACGGTGAACGCAGAACGCAAAACTGTGAACGGAGAGCGAACGGTGAACGCACGGTGAACAAACGGTGAGCGAACGGAAAATGGGAAAGTAGAACCTTTCAGGGACTGTAACTGTATTTCTTTGTGTTCCTAAAGGGAAAATGAGTCTCCTTGCGAATTATGTATTTTTAAAATGAAAATAAAATAACAATTAAGTGAAAAATTATATTGTATGAAGACACTACTGCATGTCACTATTGAAACTGTTTAAATCATTAAATATGCCACGTGAATAACAACAGATTAGTGTTATTTTTGATGATATGGAAAAATTAAATATCATATGTGAAACTCATCATTTTGATTTTAATCAAATGCTTCCTTGCAATGGAAAGGGATAAATATCTTAAAGTTTACAACTTCACTGGGATAACGAAATAAATGTTTTGATTAAAACACAAATTGGTTATATATTCATCAAAATGCTACTTTTTCTCTATTTTCATAATTTTTAAGATAGATACAATGTACTATTTTTTCATCATTTGGAAATTCATTTTCCTATTTTGTTTTCCCTTAGAAATATTGATTTTAATACAAATCGAACCATTCATTCGGTTACAATAAAGTGTACAGCAAACGCCAGTGCAATCAGGATTTAGTGCATAATGTAAATATAAGAAAGTGATGGAGGTAATTTACCTTTCATGGAACCTTATCAGGCTGGGACTTTCGTTGAACGATCCATCTATAATCAATTCTTAGCCAAAATACTGAGGTCGTTGTACACGTGGAATGTTGAGCATTATTTTGTAAACCAAAATAAAAAAGCATTAAAAGAATTATATATCAAAATTTTCATGGAATCAGTGAGATTTTAGTAAAAAATGTTGATAATTCAAAAAAGAATGTTATATCAAGCTCTACTTTTGAATCAGAAATTAATTAAAGTGTTTTCATTTCCTTTTAATCATTGTCTTTTTTATTAAGATAACCCAGTAGACGTCACCATGATTAGAGCAGTAATTTTGACGATCTGCATCGCTTTGGCGTTTGCTGGTTATGACAAGAGACAGAGGTATGTACATCATATTGAGAACCCAGTATACATAATGTACATTATACATTGTTATGTACATTATAAAAGAGTTGCTTTAATATAGAATAGATAATTTACTCATAAGGCAATTAAAAGCACCTTATTTCGAAGTATGATTTGAAATTTGATTTTGCTGATATTAAAACATTATTCACGATAAATTACTTTTTCTCTGGTCAAAGTTTCTTGGTCTTTTTTATACTTATTAAATTACTTAATTTCCTTTTTCCCTGTTTTTTCCCCTTTTTTGTTGTTTTATTTGTTTGCTTTTTGTATACCTGAAACCACAAACTTTTCTCTTTTTCATTATTTCTAATTTATCTTTCTAAATGCTGTTCCAGACATTTTCCGTATTACGGATCCAGTGTTCGCTCTCTATATGGCGGATATGGTGGATATGGCGGATATGGTGGATATGGCGGATATGGCGGATATGGTGGATACGGCGGATATGGTGGATATGGCGGGTATGGTGGATATGGCGGTTATGGCGGATATGGCGGATATGGAGGGAATGGTGTAAGCTCTCCATATGGCGGATATGGCGGATACGGTGTAGGTTCTCCCTATGGGGGATACAATTTACTCGGTTCCCAATATGGCGGGTTTGGTTCTCAGAGCAATTATCCAATGTATAGACGGCATCGAAAGAGCGTATACTAAGACCTTCCCAGCATGAAAAATAGGTACATACATTTTTTGTTAGTCAAATTGTAGATTCAAAATGTAACGTATTATGAATCACCCTGTATTTGAGTTTTTGTTCCTAAGCAATTCATCATCATCATCGTATCAACCAAAAAATAATTGTTTATTTTAGAATCATCAAAATTTGTTTTCATTTTCTTCTTCTTTTAGACAGACCGATGACAGGACAGCCGGCTTATACCTAATAAAATGAGTTATTGTTAAAATCATTCAAATAAAAATGCAGCATTTATTTGCATTTGTTGTATTCTTTCATAAAGAGTCTAATGCACTGTGTGTTTTCTTCTCTAGAGGCTACACCCGATGTTTTGCGAGAGGTTAGGAAACGCAAAACGAATATGTTTTATCTATATATTTGTTTGACAGCTTTTATACAGCGGTTTTCATATATTTTTTAAATTACTCTAGAGCTCGCGTGATATATCTGCAGGAAATATAGAATGAAAGACAGTTTGTTAATAAAGAGATTTTTTTAAAAATTACAATATATTAAGAAATTTTAAATTCATAAAATGTCTTTTTAAGTTTTTTTCTGAAAAAAAGTTTTAAGACATTTTTTAAAACTATGATACAGTCATACAGCCGAATCTCCATTGGTGTTCGATTCCATTGGGTGGCTGCATCAGCATCAACACCTATTCCGCAGGTTTTTGTGCAAAAAAAAGACCCCATTAGTGCATAAGTGTCCCTTGAGCATATTCGGTTGATACACTTTGATAAAATCCTCCAGATAACTGGTCCTAGACCATTGAGTGTCTAATAAGTATACAAGAAAATTTTATATTTGACACGGAAATCAACTGGAAGCCAGTGTAATGATACTAGCACATGTGATATATGTTCCTAATGGATTTTTTTTTACTTTCTTGTAAGTAAAAATTTTGTATATGGCGCCGATGGAGCACCAGGAAGAACAATATTTATTCCCTTGGACGAATAAGATATTTGTTCGGACAAATTAGAAATATGTTCTGACGAATAAGATATTTGTTCGGACAAATTAGAAATTCTTTCGGACAAATTAGAAATTCGTTGAGACAAATTGTATATTGTTCAGACGAATTAGATATTTGTTCGAGAAAATATTAATTCGTCCGAACAAGTTAGATTTTTGCTCGAACAAAAAAACTTATTTGTTCTTAGAAAAAAGATTCTTTCTTCAAACACAAAACTTCATTTTTCCCAACGAATGTTTAGCATCTTTCATTTTGTAGAACTAAACAGTTTGACCACTAAGAGAGAGAGAGGGAGAGAGAGAGGGGGGAGAGAGTCGGAGGAGTGATAATAAACTGCAGCCATTTTAGGGACACGCATTTTCAAAAATTGTTTACATTTTATTTTATGATTGTTAATGTAAGTGAGAAAGGTCGGGTTGGTTCTCAACTTTTTTTTTAAAAAGTGAAAAAGGGCGGAGGATTACGTGTAGATCAGGTCCCCTAAAACTGCAATTGTTATGCTATTGATTTTGATATTTTGCGTGGTTATGTTATATCAAAAGGATTTTTGAAAAGAACAAAGATTTTAAATCTAAAAATGGCATCAATAGCAAGTTGCATGTGCAGCATATACAAAATTACATATAATATGCACAATATAAGGTTTGCATAGTAAAATATAAACATACATGTAATAATCTATTATTCAGACAATTTTAGATGCATCAACTGACAAGACTTGATGATCCTAGTCCTTATAGTAAGCAAAATATCAACATTTTAATAAAATGTAATTTTTGGTCAACTTTGAAGTGACCTTGAGACCACGCCCTTTGCCCCAGGATAAATCCCCGTGCAAATTTTAATCTACAACATATCCTCATCCTTTTGTGTAAGTTTGGTGATAACTGCCCAGTGGTTCTTTTTCAGCATCCAGTACTTTTGTTTCTAATTTCCTAATTATCTCCCCTTGTTAAAGGGTCACAACCCTAGTTTTAGTATAAAAGGGAGCCCTTGGGCCAAGGATACCCTGTGACAAATTTGACAATACTGTGGTTTCATTAATATTCGTGGGCATCAATTTTCGTGGATTTAGTAAATGTCACTGTTTCGAGGATACGTTAATTCGTGGATAATGATCATACAACAAAATAAAATTGGCACCTTTTCATTTTCAATGATAAAACTTACATTGTTGCCGCTATCTATTAGAAGTCTTTTCTATGAAAAAATGCTTGTGTATCAATCTCGTTCAGACGACAGGAAATGCACATATACAAGAGAAAACAAAACTAAATAAATACGGACATAAAATTTCCGGATTGATCCGGTGTGGTAATATTACGGTGGCTGTTCCTTCTCCAAGCGCCCGACACTAGAGGTGGAATTCACATGTCTTTTTTTATGAGACCCTAAAAGAGAGGTGTTGTGTCACGGTAGGCCTTGGCACGATAAAGAACCCTCACTGTCCAACGGCCCTGAGTGCAGAGTATGGGTAAAAATTTGAAGCCATTCACTGGTATTTATGACGTCTGTATATACTCGTTAGTGAAAGATTTTCGAAAAGGACGTTAAACAACAATCAATCAGTCAGTCAATCAATAAATTTTGTTAAAACTCTTAAAATGGAGAGAAATGATTAGTGCATCGACAGCGGCACTGTGTATCGTAAATAACTAGTGTTTTAAAGATGGTTTTTAGGAGCTGTACGTATTTTGAAATGATTTTTTTATATTTACTTTTTAAACTATTAATTGATAATTTTTGAATGCAATTGAATGTGATGGGATATCCAACTGCTCATTAAAATCCTTCAATGACCCACATCTTTTTGCCGCCACCGAAGTGAAATAACTTTTGAATGCAATAAGATATGATGGGATTTATGAATTAATATTAATTTATGATTTTTTTTAATTCATTCGTAATTTTTAAAAAATATCTATACAAAAATTGTTAGAAAAAATGCAATGATTTCATGAAAGATCAAGGAACATATGATCGGTAAGTTGGCTCATTTTTTACTTGGTATTGAACGGAATGTATTAGGAAATCGTCCATCCAATTTAAAATTAACGGTTGTAAGATGTTCAGAAATGCATAATTTTTATCAGGTGTTCAATCATGTCAAAAGTGTGAATTTTATACTTAGGATACTTAAGGACATTGGCAAGGCAAGGTTTTCCGGAGAAAAAAAGGTTTATTAGATGGGTTTTAATACATGGGTTTTTTCACTTATCAAATAGTGATTGAGAGTGATCTTCTGTGTAGAATTCCGTGTGAAAACCAATAAAGAGTATGTTAAAGAGGTAAACAAAAGCACGTGTGCTTCCTTTAACGGTAGAATGAAGTATAAGGCAAGAGAGAAAAGTAGTGACGTCTTTGTTGTACATTGTGATCAGGGGACAGAGAGCCAACAGATTGCCATTACCATAGCTATGCTGGGAAGAGCAAAGATGTGACATATGCTGAAAGGTAGTTCTTCGATCGTGTGGAGGAGGCACCATTTAGTAACTACAATTAAAAATTAAAAACAAATCCATAACAATATTTTTACGACAATGTGTTTCTTATGAAATAAATTACATGCATGTAATAGAAACAGTCAACAGTCTCTTGACCACGATGAATAATAACCATATAGATGAAATATGAAGATAACGAACAGTATTCAATCTCGAACGTCCAATGAAACTATACAAATTTGGAGCAGAGCAAACACGGACCTCAAAATTTAGAGGTAGGATCAGGTGCCATGGAGGAGTGAACGTCCTCTGCCGACCGGTCACACCCCCCGTGTGCTCCTTGTCATGATCAGGAAACAAAAACCGGAAAATCCGTAGACAGGTTAGTGTATAAATAATGGCCTAACAATTAAAATGAAAAACGTCAGTCAGCATTTGACTCAATGATAGGTTGTATGTGATGACAAGGTCATTATATCGACCGAAAAACTTGCGAAAAGATGACTTCAAACGAGACTGTTGATATCCTTCTTTCGTCAACTTGTTTGTCAATAGATTGCCTCGTTTTAGAAACTGTTCATACGTAGAGCATGCTCTTGCGAATCAAATCAACTGAGAAACATAAACCTAATATGCTGGTGATAGGGGGTGTATTGCTACATAAGTAAGGGAAGTTGACGATTTAAAAGTTGAAGCTTTGTTGTTAGATTACCATTTACGCCTTTTTCTAGTAAAATATCTAACTATGAAACAGATGTGTCAGAATCTGTGTTATCTTTTATTTCAAGCTCACTGGGATATATCGAGTCGACATATGAATGACAGTAACTATCGTTAATTGATAATACGTCATTGATATACCGAAATGTCGAGTTGAAGGCCACAACAAGTGTTTTCCTCTTCTCATGTAGAAGTTTTTGAATAAATTCTGCTTCATATGAATACAAAACTAGGTCTGCTAATAAGGGGCACAATTGTTACCCATATGAATTCCAACAGATTGTTGGAAGATCTGATCTCCAAAAACCACGTTTTTTTGGAGGGGGGGGGGGGGCTCTTCTAAAATTGTGAATTTAATGGTCAGAAGTTCTAGTGTTAGTGTGGGACTCTAATGATTGCTATTGATTTTAGTAAAATTTTGTGATTTCAAATTTTTGCAAAAGTTCTTTGGAGTTTTTAAGTATCCACATCTGATTTACACCACTTCTCGAATATACTGTTGAACAGTACTCCTGAAGTTTCTGCTTCATTACAATAAATATTTTAGTGAGGAGTAGTAAAGAAAGAGGCTTGGTAGAACATTTACTGGAACCCTCTATGTACATTTGTTTGTAAGGATTTTTATGAAGCTTAGGAATCCAGTAAAGGTATGGTAATTTAAATTCATTTTGATTGTTTGGAATAGTAAAATTACCTAAAACGGACATATGATTTTGAAGAATTCCTCCTTAGAAACGGAGGTATGGGTGTAAGTTGGATTTCCACCGGTAGAATTAAATCCAGGTTCCTCTAAAATACAATTTAAATAATGAGCCTAACGAACAAAGACTATGTTGTTACCAGCTTTGTCAGCTGGGACCAGTACATACTGATCGTGCAATGTATCTAATTCCTTTTTCACTTCTGAATTATTAAAGACAGAAGGATAAATAGTTTTCATACAGCCCCTCAATCGGTTAATGTGATTTTTCAACATCCATCTGATGCTTTTAATCCATTCTGACAAAGTGTCAAAGTTTACTTTTTCGTGTTTGGCCCATCGCCTGGCGTAATCTTCCACAGAATTCATAATATATATAAAATCATGACGCCAGTTGAAAGAACGGGGTGGA